TATTTTTGAAGGAGAAAAACAACAAAAAACAAACACACACATACACACACCAAAAAAAGACAAAAACCACCTCCCCCCCCAAATCAAGCACATGCCACAAAGCACCAGGTCATGACAACACAAATAAAAGGCACAGAATTAACATTAAGTTTTGTGTTAAGTTGTAGGGTCATACCTTGAAGTTAAGAGAATTTGGTAGCTTCTTATTTGTAGATTCATCTGTGGAAAAGATCAAACATGAGAAATTGAAGAGGAGGAAATAGAAAAGCAGTGAGCATTACATGCAATTATGGGATTGACTTTGCAATGCTTTTATAAGTACTTAAAGTACTGAAAGATTTCAGAGGAAGACTTTATTTGTTGAATTGATAACATCCATGCATCATTATGCACCCTCTGCAAGGATTTATTTCTGTTGCTAAAAATATTCTACTATTATCAATTCAACCTTCTGTTAGACCATTCTCTTATAGACAGTAGCAGTTTGTAGACAAAAATAAAGGGATAGCAGCACATGATTCAAAACACCCCCAACGGGACATTACTGGTATGTCTGCACAGTTGCTCTTTTTTTGTTTAAGATACATTCCCTTTTACCCTGCAAAGCCACAGGCACACACCATTATCTGGAAAGCTGACCACTACCATCTGCTTAAAGGGCAAATTCAGAGCACCTGCACTTAAGGAACCTGCAATCCCTACATCTAGAAAAGGAGGGCAGAGGCCGCCCATAAGAATAACCTGGAGGAATCAAAAAACTCAGATACCTAAAAACAGCCAACAGGAAAGCTCCAATATGAGAAAGTATCCAAATTTATTGCTCACAAGGAGCGAGACAGTCACACAACACTGCACTCTCTAAAAGCCAGACCTCTACCCCATATTTGTGGTACTTTTCTCCCTCCCTGCAAAGAGATTCCTGACAGTTTACATACAAGTCTAATTTCAGAGCTGTCTCTAACACTATTAGTATATTGCTGATTTTTACTCCATCCTTAGGAAAAGAGCAGTTGCATAGCCCATCCCGTGACCACACTGAGCTTTAACTAGACAAGGGTCTGCCCAGCAAGCCCTACAAGGGGAAAGGCTGAGCAGCTTTTCTTGGTTACCTTGATCTCCAAGGGAACTGAATGACCTCTCATTCTGGAGCAGGACCTGTTTCAGCTCCTCGAGTTCGGCGTGTTCCTTGGTGTACATGCGCTTCAGGTTCTCCACGTGCTGGATCATTACTTCCACAGCCTTGCTGACCCGGCTCTCCTAACAGGGCAAGTGCAACACAGCAAGGAGGAGGAGAAAGAAGAATGACTCTGAGGAACTGAATGATGTTTAGATTTTGAGAAGACTTTTTTCCCCAATAATCTGTCTAGCATCATGATGCTATTACACCCTCATTTTCATACACCCCTTCAAAGTTGCACTACAACATAATCTCTCAGCACATGCCCAGGCTCAAGGTCTTCCCCTTTCTCCAAGGATTCCCCTGTTCTAGCACAGGCTACAGTCTTCATCTTCTGAGCCTTTGCAGCCCCTCACCATCTCATTCCATCATCTCCAATCTCAGCTGCCACCACACACCCACTACTGCTGCCAAATCATATTTTCATGCTGCTGTTTACACATCATCATGTTTGAGCAGACCCACGTTTCAATATGTTAACATTCTCAAATGCATTAGCAAAGCCCATAACGACCCCTTCTGTAGGGCAGAAAATTATCAGTAGTGCATTAAAACTATTATTATTGCCTTGCCATTTTTTTTTGTACTGTCTACCACATACAACCCTGTCCTGAAAAGTCTTCTGTGAGGACTATATTTTTGCTGTTTGTTTTTGCACTATGCCAGTGCAATGCCTACTGTTAGGACTCCTAGGCACTGTAAGAGTAATAATGCAAGCAAAGATCCAAAAAGATAAAGTCAAGATTATATCATAGGAGACATAACTGTTACACACCAAGATCCCCAAATCCAGTTCTGGAATCCAAGGTCCAAAAACAGGCCCTACTGTCCTTATTCATCTAGAAGCCTTTAACTGTGTGTGAAATACATTTACTTGGAAGCAGTTACCTGATTAATAGCTCCCAGCATCTCCGCTTTGCTGGCGACACGGACTGCATACTGGCCAAGGAACTGCAAGCTTTTCTGCAGCTTCTTAATAATCTCCTGTGCTTGGTTGTCTTCTTCGCACAAAGGAACCAGAGCCTAAAGGCACATTGAAGACAAGAACAGGAAAACGTTAGCAACTATTTGAGAAGGAGAGGTGAACCCGAGTGACAAGGCCAAGGCAATTCCCCCAGGCCCAGACAGTCCCAGGATCAGCATCCAGCATCCTCAGTCACTGGAACTCGATGCAGACAGTGGGCAGAGACTTCAGTTTACCTAGCATAAAACATCAACTTCTGAAAACACAGGTTCTTCCCAGGCATTTGCACAGTCCCCACTCCCTGGACATACAGTATGACTGGATGAAGAAGGCTACCCTTTAATATATGAGAAAGATTTAGCATCTCAAGTGCAACACCCAAGTTCAGACTTGCTCAGAATAAGATAAAACCTAAGAAAGTTATATCAAAAAGAAAATTCAACCACCATTTGTTCCACCCACACTAGCAGCCTGGCTAATGCTAACCTCTAGCAGCTTTAGAGCATCTGTGATTTCCTTTTTCAAGGCTTCTTCAGCCAGATTTCGGGATCTCTCTTCAAGCTTTACTCTCTTGTCCAAGGTAAACAAGTCACACTTGAAACCTAAAGACAACCTTAGAAATTCAGCCTGTTGTGGAAAAGGAAAAGATTTCAGAACATAACAAGTAATACGGAAGTCTACTAAGTAGATTTGCATACAGTTAGGAATACAGAAGAGAAAGCAAACACTGCCTATGACCCTAACAGGGGACTTTACACCCCAAAGACAAGGGTTTTTGCCAGTCCCCCCACCTGTAGTGATGCAGGAAACATTTGCAGTCAGAACAGGTAATCTCCTGGCAGTGGGCAGCATCTGGGAGCTTGGATGATATTGCCTTAAATCAGCACACTTCTGCCTAGGTATAAGTCATAACTATGCTCTTCCACATTTGGAAAGAGTTTGTTTATTTATAGTGACAAATATTTCAGTCATTTTTATGGGTTTCCACTTCTATCCCTCTTATCCCCTCAGAAATTCCAGCTCAATGCAGCAGGTTATTATCTATACCAACAGGGCTCTGAAAGACAGGTTCAAAAGCCAGTTGACAAAAAACAAGTTTAAGCTACTAAGCATCAGTCTTTCATACAAAGAGAGATTAATCAGGCTTTATCTACAAAAATCTTTCTGCTGTCCAAAGCTTTTAGAAATAGGAGCAGCTGAGACTTACCTCCACCTCTTTCTCATTAGGAGAGTCACTGTAGGAAAAGGAGGGACAGTTATGTAACAGGCTGCAGCTTTAAGTTATACATGAAGGTGGTCACTGAAAGTCAAACACACTTACGGGTCATTTTGCTTTGTCTTATCTCCTTTAATACCACTTGCATTGGGTGAGCTCCCTGAGAAGAGGGAAAGAAATGCTTTGAGACAAGAAGAAACAAAATGCTAAAGAGGCTGTAAAAAATATGTATGAAGCCCAAACAGAAGTCACTTAAAACTTCCTGGATTAAGCTCTTATCAGTAAAAACCACTTTGCATACCCTGGCGCATATTAGGACTAGAACATCAGTAAGACAGTCCAGCAATGCCACTTAAACCTCAATTGCTTCCTGGCTTCAATGGCCAAGCAGTTAGTTCAAGAACATTTAATTATAGGCTTTGGTTTAAGTTCCCAGGCCACAGGTTTCTCAAATGCTGAACTCCAAGGGCAAGAGTTGAGGTGGCTGCGAGACTGGAGATGTCCGAGTGTAGCTCAGTAGAAACATCTCCCTGTTGTTATCTCACGTCACACCCTGTTCTACCTTGCACAAAGAAAGCTGCTTTAGGAGCTGCTTTTTGGGTGGACAAGTATGCCAGCACTCAGTTTCAGATATCTTAACTCCTTAGCAGCTCTGAAGAAATTCTCTCCCTCCTATCTGGAGGAGGATGGAGCTGGTTAGATTAGTATCTGTAGGAGTTGGAGAAGCAGGTTTTTGCATGATAACATCTCAGCACTCCCTTCCTCCGTTTCTCACCCATTTTGATTTCTGACTGCAGCTACAGTTCCCCCCCTCCTCCCCCAAGTAAAACCCACACAAGCCAGCACACACACACACTCTAGCAATTGGTGTGCCCAAGCAGCTCTCAGGAGCACTTCACACTGCTCTTGACACAGGAGACAAGAACATGTGCTCCAAGGTGTTACACAAACACAGTCAGCAAGATCCTCCTACCTTTCCTACTGGGAACCATGGGCAGTGCTTCCTCACTCTGCTCCTTTTTGGTTTCCTTTTCCTGGTCCATCTCCTAAAGGCACAAAGAGTAAATATACCAAGGGAACAGACACAGAAAGTACAGAGGGACCCTCCAGACCCTCTTCCCTTCTGCTCTGCCTCACTGCTCAGGCAAAGGAGTTGGATGTTTCCATGTCACCAGTACTCTTACCAGATCTTGCTTTAAAGCTTTGTGAGGTGTTTCATGTTCTTCTGTCATAGGGTGGAATTCCTTCTTCGACAGATCAGTTCCTGGGGAGAAACATTCCAAGTGTAATAAAAACAAAACAAAAGTCTCCAATGCACCAGCACCCAGAGTACTACCCATTGGCCAAGAGGTCTAAAACAAGTTGCAGCAATTACCAAGAGAGGACATTAAGGAAGAGAGGCAGCAGCAAAAAAAAAAAAGAAAAGAAAAAAAAAAACCACACACAGACAGGGATAGAGAAAGGTAGTGCCACTATAATACTTGCAATTTTACAAGAACAACTACAGCCAGAATCAGATCTATCGCTTGGATGAATAAATTTCCATGCATTTTTTGTGCATTTGCTTAAAGAGACAGCTTATAACTAATTGTTGTCTGACTTTTAGAAAGACAGGAATGCATAAAGTAAAAAATCCCATGCACAAACCAACAGGAGAAATAAATGTTTTTAATTATCTTCAAGTGTCTCCAGTATGAAAGTAGTCAGAAACATTACACACTCAGAACTGCTGTTATAGAGTTGCTCAAGTACAACCAAGTTTTGGAAACCATGTGGTTTAGACACTTCAAGACAGGCTTCAAACTTATTCTGACACTTGCACTGTCCTCCTGTACCTTAAAAGAGCACCCTCCACAAAGACAGCTATTGACAGTATATTTACATATTTCAAAAACTGAAAAAAGCATCAGAGTCTCACCAATTTCTCCCGCTACAGGAGAAATCTATTCCTTATAGATGTTCTGAAAGGTTTCTTTGTTTACACAGTCATAAGTACATGAATGCAGGCCAAAGAAATGGCAACAAGAAAGGAAACCCCAAAGTTTTACAGCTTTGAAAGCACAGAGGTGCTTTTTCCTTTCGTCTTTAAAGTGCCACCTTTAGCACCACCCTTTTCATAATGCTCCCTTTCATTGCTATCGCAGCAGCCCCAAGTATCTGACCCGGATCCTCAGCGCCCTGAGGAGGCACTGTATGGTACTACTAAAAACCACAAGCTTACATTCATCTATAACTCCATCTTAATACTAGAAACATTTCCTATTTCATGGCATGCAGCAGGGAGCAGGATGTTGGACTTCTGGGCTATCTAGACCCATTCTGGCCCATTTTGCATATCTGCTTCCGCCCTGCCAAAGGCATCTGCACCACATATGAAAATTAACTGCAGAGGCAAGTTAGTAGAAAGAAGCCATATTTATGGCAGGAGACTGAATTAGACTTCAGGAAGACTATAGAAAGAAACAAAAACACAAGTAGTGATGACAGAAGTTTTATATTTAGGTAAGGGCTAATATATGAGTGCTTGTTTGTAATCACCCTCTGCACTGTTACTCAGAAGTTTTTTTTTAAAAAATAGCTCAAATACACATGCACTCCAGTTTAGTTTTGCTTTTAGTTTGTCAGTGAGGGAGGAATACAGTCAGATCTAATAAGAATATTTTTTTCTAGCTATACATGGCCATCGGGAAAGACAAAAAGCATCCACAAATGTCTCCTGCTTTCTCGTGTTCTGAACATTCATTTTGAAAGAGAAAAGGGAAGTGCTACTTATTGCAATTACTTACCACCAAACCTTTCAAAACCCATGAAAAGATTCTCTCTCTTCCCAGAGTTGCCTGGCATTTCGTACCAGCACAATGTTCAACCAGCTGAGCAAGCATCACAGTTTCATGTTTACCTTTGGCCAACAGGCTCCCAACAAGCAGGCAGAGCCTCATCCAGACCCACAAATTTCAAGGAGGCTGGAGAGCACTTGCAGGGCTAAGTATTTGCAACAGCAGCAATTCAAAAGCTGTCATTCAGCTACCTGGCTTATTACATTCCCTCACTTTAAAGACATGCTGGAAGCAAGTGTTTGCTGCTTGCACGAACGCCCGTGTGGCTGCGGCAGCCACTGCACCAGTACAGAACCAGCTGGATCCTTACCACTGCCTTTCTCTGCTGCTACAGAAGTTGGCACCTCTTCCTCTTTTGCATGTGAGTGCCCAAGGGGTTTTTCCTCCATAGCAAGAGAGTCTGTAACACGAGTCAACAGCAAGAGCACTTACTGGCCAGGAAACGCACAGGCCTCGGGCATCTATTTCAAGGCTCTCAGCACCAAGTTTGCAGATCTCTGCACCCCAGTCTAAGTGCTCACCTGTTACTGCTGTGATGCTTTCTGAAGAGGTTGCCAGAACTACTTCTGCGCAGGATGCAGAGTGATCACTGCCAAAACAAAGTTATTTTCAGTTACTTATACATACTATATGACCTTGAGAGAAGTTTTTAAACACTTGCACAAAAGCTGACCTGGATGTGATCAGACTCGCTGATGTGGATGGCTCTGCACTGGTCATCTTAAAGGAAAAAAGAAAAAAAATAGCATCAGGAAAAGGGCTGCTTTGCAAGTAGAAAATATCTAAGTCGAGGTTTTAATAATTCCTTCAGCTGCATCCAAATATTTCAGCAGAGAAAAAACTAGCTAGCTAGTAATGAGCTGCAGATTCCATCGTTAGTCTATAGTCACCACCATGCATAAAATGTAGGTGATGATATCACGTTAAGCTAAATGACAGCACGATACAACTTGGGAGTGAAAATTCCCAGCAGAAATCTTGTATTTCTAAATATGGAGTTTCTGAGAAATTCTGGTCCCTGACTTCATGCTGTTTCTAGCACCTATCCAAAAGACAAAGCACATGTTACCACACCACCACCTTTCTATCCTAGTGCTCCATAAAGGTAGAGTTAGTTTGTATTTTTAACCCATTTTCAAGGTCTTGAACTGCACAAAGTGGGATAGAGAGTTTCACACAGCTATAGATATGTGACTCAGGTAGTTTTGCCTGAACAGATGATTTGGAAACTTGCATTCTGCCCTGTAAGCTTCAGCATTCATCTTTGTAGGAGGCTTGTGTTTAATAACCATCACCTGGTTCAGAAGGCTTCAGGCCTGCAGGGTTTCAGTGGATAAGGCTTATGAGAAGCCTTGCTTGTGTTCCCTCGCCTGCTACATTATGGCTCTGACAACATCCTCGAGTACATCAGTGTGCCAAGGGGGAAAAGCATTCTTCCTGCTTTCCCCCAGATAATTCCAGGTCACTTAGACAACCAAGGCACTGGGAGGAGAGCCCTGGCTGCTCCCCCATCAGCGAGCGCTTTCTTTCCCTCTCCCCACATCAGAGGTCATCTCTGCTCCAGGCAGCTGGATGCTTCCTCTAATGCAAATCCAGGATATTTTTATTCTCATTTGAATTCTCTGTTAAAGCTGAAGGAAGTGTAACACTGCATTTGCCCTGTTCTGACCAGAAGAAAAGACAATAGCACGTAGCAATGAAAAGAACCTAAATAAAGCATAGAAATATGCTTCCCACACCAAAGCCTCACACAACCTAGAACAGAATAAAACAACAGGTATTACTCTACGCGCTCTCTCCTTCTGCACATGATCACAGCATCGGCGATCTCTGCTTGCAATGAAGGAAGATAAATCTTCAAGCCAATTTTTAAACCCTGTAGTAGCTATTAGCACTGTGAAGTCCCTGCTGGACAGTGGCAAGTATGATTAAAGAGAAAGAAAAGAGCATCAATCCACAGTCTAGATAAACAAGCTTGTTGCAAGGGTCCTTCCTTCTCTGAAAAGGACTGTATCAGGTAAGATCCTGCAGCAGAATCCCAGTCACACTTCCTCTCCATCCTTGAATCATTTCACTGTCCTGTACACACGGCAGAGAAATTCTGGCAAGAGTCTTCTAGAGCTTCCCCCAGACAAGCATTAAT